CTGGTCCTTCGGCCGCGCGCCCGCCGCGCCGGCTCTCCCACGGCGTCCGCACGCTCAGGACGCACCGCTGGCCTATCCCAGGCCGACAGAGCTGTTTTAAAACCAGTTTGAAGTACCTTTGCTGCGTGTGCTCCCGTGGCATAGGGCCACCAATGGTTTGGGTTTTTTTGGATTTTTTGGATTTTTTTTGGAACTGCTTAGGCAATTTCACGCAAAGGGGTGTTTTCTCATCTCGATGCAAACAGAGTTCAGCACACAAATCCCTCGGCATCAAGACGAACATATACTCCGTAATCAGTAAATTACTAGGAAGGTGGTGATAGATAGACGAGCTCTAGTGGCCCTCGCTGGGGAAGCCTCATTCTAACACTTTGGCACTCTGTTCCTGCTCCGTATCTCTCTTGCGACTGCCACTTTTAAAAAATCCAAGCTGTAGGAATTAAAGAGAAGACAAAGAAAACCCCACCATTACTTCAGCTGATTACTTTGAAGTGCGTTTCTTTTAAAGGGATACTGCCAGGCAGTTTAGGCCCTAAATATTAATAAAATGAAAATCAAAAGAGGTCAGAGAAGCCAATTTCGAAAGAAATGTGGTTTTGATGTTAAAACGTTCAGCGCGCGTTACTGAGGTGGGTTTACGTTTAATACTTCCTTGCGATATTGCAGAGTCCTAAGAAGGCCGGCAAACCACCGCGGGAAGGTGTCTAGAAGCAGAAGCTTTCTGACTTTTTCTTTTTTGCAATCAGCTCAGACTCCTCCACCCCAGATGCACGAACAGATCGGAGCATTGCTGCCTTTACAGAGCAGCCCCGATCCCGGCCCTCCCCAGCCCTGCAGCAGGATGGCCCGGCGTCGTGGAGCCGGTGCAGACCCCCCCCAGGGCACCCTGCAGCCCTCGGTTGCAGCAGGAGCCACGGGAGCCTCCCTGCAGCCTGCTGGGTCCCCAGAGCGAGTGCGTGGGGCTGGTCGCTCCCCCGTGGCTTTTGCCCCCCACCCCGGTGCGGGGAGCTCAG